TTTTCCTCCTCCTCCTCCTCCTCCTCCTCCTCCTCCTCCCGAGTTTCCTTCCCTTGTTCCAACCCCTCTTCACTTTCCTTGTTATCATCCCTCTCCTGCTCCCCTTTCCTCTTCTCCTTCTCCTTTTTATCATCATCAGCATCATCTTCCTCCTCCACCGCTTCGTTCGCCCCATTCCGTTCTTGCTCCTCCTCATCCTCCTCTTGCCTCTCCTTGTTCTGTCCGTGTACCGAGACCTCTTTGTTATCCTCCGTCTCCTGCATTCTTCCTCGTTTCCCACCTCATCGCCATCGGCTTCCTCCTCTTCATCGTCATAATCATCGTCCCTCCATTCCTCTGCCTTTTCTTGCTCCTCCGACACCTCGTCGATGGTCGTTAGGGCTGACGAGTAAACCGGCTTCCTGCGCGCAGCATCCGCCACAGTCCCGTCTATTTCCGAGGACAAAAGAAGGCAATTTTGAGGTAAAAAACTTTGTAAACCGTCACTGTTTCACATACGAAAGAAAGATGCGCTTACCGGAAGTCCGTTGTTGGCAGAGCTTCTGCTGAGGCGAATTGCCCTGAGCTGCCTCAACAACGACGGCATGATCAGACCCATGCATTTTCGTGATTAAGTGTTCATTAGCAAAATTGCATTCCCCTGATATAGTAGCATCACGGGTGGAAGAATGAATATGCAATATGTCATTCACGATTATCCTTATAGGTTAATAGTATTGAAAAGAATTTAGACTTTTGCACAGCAGAGAATTTGTCGCACTTATCTTCTGGAAATATTATTTGCTCCAGAAATGCATGGAAGGTTGTTTGTGATTGGATAATTGTAGTGTGCGGCCAATCCGCCGTAGTGTTTTCGAAGGTGATTAACATGTGCTAACACAACAATAAACACTAACAATAACGTAGAAATTAAAACGACGTCTGGAAAAGAAGGACGAGGGTTTCGTTAGGTTACGTTGATTTTCGTACAGTCAGAAAAAGAACCGGCCTACATGATCTGCATAAAATTCGACTAAAATGTACAGTAATTAAAAGGATTTATTAATATGAATAAAAAATGGAAAGCAAAGCACTAACCGTGTGACGTGTTGATTGGAAAATGCCACAAATGACTGTCGGTTGGGTTGAAAAGGAATCCCTGGATCAGAAACATAGGAATCAGAAGCAGATTTGCGCAGATTTCAGCTAGCCGCTGTACGATCAACATGGCTGACTTTTGTGTGTTTGAATGACTGGTGGGTATTGATCGTACCGCAGGTCGGCGTTCGAATGCCAGCACACGGGCACGTATGGCTGGTGATGCCTGAACATCGTGCAGCCAGGAGTCTGCTGCGGCAATGAGAATTTTCTTCTGGGGAGCAAAATGGACACATCACGCACATGTTCCCCTAGGTCTCTGAGAGCATTCGCAAATCTCGAAGATGTCGGCATGTATAAGATAACCATGGTGTTTTTCTAATGTCTGTTTATGATAGAGAAATTTCAGTGGTTAAACCTACAGCAAGTATAGAAAAGTAGTAGAAAAGACGCAACGAAAACTTCCTAGCGTAGAGCTAATTTTTAGTAACTAATCTACCACATTAAGCTAGTGGAAAAAGTGGAAAACTGTGTAAAAATGACAATAAAAAGGTGAACGATACGACTCACTAGATCTCCAACGATCCTTGATAGCAGAAGCCAGGAAATTGACTTGCCGAAGGATGGATTAGTAAACGTTGGGTTCTTCGTTCACCAATCCGAAGTCGGAAGAGTCGCAAGGAAACCCACGTTCAATTCACCGGT